GCTCTTGGGATTGAACACCAGGGATTCCCTTCAAATATTTCACATTTTCTATTGCACAGAATTCCAGAATGGCTTGGGCTGGGAGGAAACACAGCCACCTGGTCCAACCTCTGTGCTCCAGCAGGGTCATCCTGGAGCACACAGCACAGGACTGAGTCCATTCTTCTTCTTCCTCTCCTTCTCCTCCTCCTTTCTTCTTCTCCTTCTTCATCTCCTCCTCCTCCTTCTTTCTTCTCCTTAATTTCTCCTTCTTTCTCTTCTTGTCCTTTTCTTCTTCTTTCTCTTCGTCTTCTTCGTCTTTTCTTCTTCCTCTTCTCCTTTATTTCCTTCTCCTTTTCCTCTTCTGTGTCTTCTCCTTCTTCTTCTCCTCCTCTTTCTCTTTCTCTTCTTTTCCTCCCCCTCTTCTTCCTCTTTTCTTCTCCTCCTTCTCCTTTTCTTCTTCCTCTTCTTCTTCCTCTTTTCTTCTCCTCCTCCTTTCCTTCTTCTTCCTCTTCTCCTCCTTCTCATTTTCTCCTTCTCCTTCTTCTTGATGGTGTCATTATTATTATTATTATTATTATTACTATTATTATTATAGTGAATCTATTGTTGTTCACTGCCCAGGTACCGTTAAAAGCACTAAAAGAGATTCTCTTTTCCCAAACCAAGCTGCAATTAAACAACATCAAAAGATCTTTACAACCTRAAGGTTGGACTGGAAGGTCTGAGAGGGCTTTTCCARCCCAAACAATTCCCTGATTYTCTGGAACCCCTGGAGATTTGGGAACAGGAGTCACTCTGGGATGGATAGTGATGCTGGAATCACCAGCCTCACTCTGCCAAGGGGAAATTATTCCAGATAAAGCTGCTAATGAAGAGAAACCAGGCAAAGCATGAAATATTCCAAGGCAGGAACAGGGCAGGGGCTGTTTTGGGGTGGAAWTTAAATTCTGGAAGTGTGGCCCAGGCTCATGGCAGAGCCCTGCAGCAGAACCCTCTCCCAGTGCCTGGGAGAAGCTGGGAAGGTGCTGGAAAAGGCTCAGCCCTGCACTAAGAGATTGCATTTTCCTGTCAAAATGAAACAGAGAGGAGCRTCAGAACACCCACAACTGCAAACCACAAGAGGTCTGGAAAAAGAAATTAATTCAATGTAATTGTGGACTTTCCAGCTCCTCCGAGCTGAAAATACAAGATGTGTTTGGGGAAAAGAAAGAACAGAAACTGGAAAAGCACACATGGACACCCCATTTAAAATGCAGCCAACCATCCACGCTGCTCAGCAGAAACACYTCACCAGGGTTTTTTTAAACACAAACATTTTTGCACTTATGAAATATTCAGTCAGCTCAGATATAAAAATACAAGTGCAATCCATTATTAATTTACAAGGCCCTGTTTAATTTACATGCTATTTTTCTCTGGTATATTAAATTTATCAAGGCTGGTGGATATCCTCTCTGCTGAATATTCATAGGCTGACGTGTAAAATTATCTGTTCTYCATCCGACAGATTCCAGCACAAGCTCCAAACAACCACTTGCTCAGAGAATTCCTTCGACAGGAACACAAGGAGCTGCGTCCAGGAATTGTCAGCTCCAAAGGAGAAGTGACAGCACCACACACATTTTTATCATCCCAGATTCAAGCTGGTTTTCTGTAGTTTTGCCTTTAGTAAGGCATTTCACCCCAAATTTAAACATTCTTGGAGGTCTTCCCATCTTAGGGGGCTTTTCCAGCCTAAATAAGGGTTGGATCCAATAAATCCATGATTTTGTGATTCCGTAAATCCATGGAATTCTGRGATTTCATAAATCCATGGAGTCCAGGTGGTCACTTGCCCAGTCCATCGTGCCCATGGCCATGGGACCCCTCAGTCCCATCAGCTCTGCCCTCCCTAATTAAATTAAAACCCCACAATTCCCAAACAATGGAAGTTCTGGCCGCTGTGTCCCATAATTTAATTACAGCAGGCTCTAATTACAGATACTGGAGAGGCCCCAGCCCTGCTGGCCACACTGAAAAATTCCCTGGAAACCCAAATCTGTTCATTTTGGGCTTTTCTGCATTCTCAGGGGAGCATTCCCAGCGTTTGGCAGGGACATTATCCCATTGACTCCTCCCTACACAGGGATGACATTCCTCACCCTTCAGCACCATTCCTGCTCAATTCCTTCAATTCCCGATTTTGGAAAGCATTCCTCAGTTTGGGATAAAGGTCCCCTTACCTGGCAGCTCGTGAGGATCTGGCTCACAGCCAGGAGGCTTTTCCYAAACCTGAAATGGATTTTTGGGAGAAGATAAATCCACTCATATGCTACTCAACAGAAAAAGCAAACCCCAAATGTTGTCTTGTTCTTGTTCTAAGCTGCAATTGAGATATTTGTAATTATTTGGTGTAGCCCAAGTATTTGTATTGAGTACAACCAAGATAATTGTGACAATAAATCCTTTCTTGCCAACCAATTTTCCACCAATTTCTACCGTTGTTGCCATTTTCACTTTGTGGCTCACCTGCTGGACA